GTCGCTCATGGAAATACCAGCAGTGCTATATAATTTATTCATTGCCTCGTTACGCGTTTCGGCTAGATACCGATCGCATATGGTTACTTATAATTGGAACGAAGATATGCATGGGAAATGAATTAATTAGCTCCTTGCTTTGTGTTATGCGACATTTGTATATAGATGCTACTACAAAGGAGGATACGAATAATGAAATGCGAAGTAAGAGTTGATTTTGTTTGTGAAAGATTATTGTTAACTATTGTTAGCCATATGAGTGACCATATGTTTTAAACAATTCTGTAGAAAGCAGTATAAAAATAGAAAGTAATCGTGTTCAATTTATAAAACCAAAATAATTGGAAATAATATTTGCAGCAATTTATATTTAAATAATTTAAACTAAGATTTAAGAAGCACGAATTATGATTGACTTGAAAGTAATTTACATTGAATTTACATTCTCAAAATTTTCTCTTATTCACATTTTACGATAACGAAGCTATCATAAAGTTGATAATTCATCGAAACTGTCTACCAGATTATCTAACACGAAAAAAGAACACAGCGTATGTTATACGCTTATTCGTTGGTAATTAATAGTAACCCCCTTCGATAATTCGATGAACCCTCAAACTCCCCCTATGAGGGTCGGCCAACCCTTGTATCCTCTCAAGGCTACCCAACCAAGCCACATCGTTGCACCGAGTCTATATCGTCATTCCCTTTGATCTCCGCCACTCCCCCTGATAATTGTAACTTATGCTTAACTTACAATTAAACACGGAACATTTTCATTGCTGCCACGAACCGATAAAATACCTTTATCGACCAATCCTGAGATGCTAAAACATTTTATAAAATATGGTAAATATGCGAATATTCGTCTAGAGCAAAAGTAAGAATTATTTTAATCGTTGGTCATCGAAACTAATATCCGAGGTGGTATTACGCGTTGGTTCGATTAATGAAGAGACGCGTGATATAATTGCGATAGTCAGTTATATTAGAATTACAGTTAGTGTATTACATCGTAATCGTCGCTCGCTCAATGCTACTCGCTAACTGTTCAGCTATTCTACTCTATTGGCTCGCTTGCTAGACTTGTCTTAGAGAGGATGATCTTAGAGGTTCGTCTATTTATATTGGTCGGTAAAGTGCATATAACGATTGCACATAACGGCGATATTGTTTTGTTCGGAATTCGTTTACCTTTAAACCTTGTAAACCAAAACGGCATTGATACCCCCAGGCACAACAACATGTGCCACTCTCGATTCGAGTCGTCCTATGACTCATGTGCCGCTACATCACCCCCTTACCAGTGATAACGTTTTTTTTTTTTTTGTATGTGTGATTGGTTTACATAGTTTTCGTGGGTATATTTCCCAAGTTCAACGAACTCTACAGCTTTACCCGAAACCTGGTTGGAACCTATCAGGAAATCAGTTAAGTCCGGAAATTCGACGAGGAGTCGATGATATGTTGATTCGCCGATGATTGTTTTAATTGACGATGTATCGGTCGTGTCCGTGTATCCTTTTGTCGACACACAAATGGTTGTGTCAATCAGGCGTTTATTTCTTGAGTCCACTAACAATCCGTAGTGACTCAGGAGGTCCACGCCGATGATAAGCGTGTTAACATCCGTTACTGTAAAACGCCGTTTCAATGTTCGTCGCAGTGACAGGTCGAGGGACATTAGGATGATGCCGTAAGTCGCGATGCGTGACCCGTTGGCCACGAACAGCTCGTACGCATCTTTGTTCGCGGGTCCGTGTAGCTTGTTGCGCATATATCGGCACCGATGTCCACGAGCAAAGAAATCCTTGATGTCCTGTCCGTCACAAAAATGCGACGGGATACAAAGCTGTCGGCACATGTCGCGTTTACGGATGGCTGGTTCTATTTCGCTGGGTCCAGTTGCACGGGGCCCGGCACTTCCTTGCGTGGCCTAGGAAGATCTTGTGGTAGTAGCAGAAACCAGAGTTCTGCCGTTTTCTTTTCGAACGCGATCTGCGACCTTTCGAGCTTGATCGCAGACGGCGACATCTCGAACTTGATTGCAGACGGCGACGTCTCGAACTTGATCGCAGACGGCGACGAGTGTCGAGGCTCAGCGCGTTGATTTGTGCCTCTAATCGGCATAGACTATCATTTATCGGGACCATGGCGCGGTTCTGTCGTTCTTCCGTTGCTGTGCTATCGGCACAGGCCGCGGCAATTTGTCCCGTCTCAGGGCGGTCGGCTATCGGGGTTAGCGTTTCGGTTTTCTTCTCCTCCTTGGTGGCTAGAACGCGCTGTATATGCACCGGTAGTCGCTTCATCCAAAGCGTGAAGATGAAGTCACTCGATGTCGTAGGTGTGGCTTGATTCCTTAGGTCCCTGTAAAACTGAGACAGCCTCCAATCTCCCATATGCTCGTCCTCGAGCTGCCTGCGCATTCTCCAACCGTCTAAATCTGCGAATCTTGTACTAGGTTGTCTGTTGGTACTCGTCATTTCGAATGTAACACGTTCACCTCTCTTCGCTTTTGATCACGTCGGGGTCACCAAATTCAGATGGTATTACGTGTTAGTCCGGTTAATGAAGAGACGCGTGATATAATTGTGACAGTCAGTTATATTAAAATCACTGGAAGTACAAGTACAGAGGAAGTGTATTACGTCGTTCGCTCAATGCTACTCGCTAGCTGTTCAGCTATTCGACTGTATTGGCTCGCTTGCTAGACTGGTCTGAGAGAGGATTTTCGTCTGTTTATATTGGTCGTTCGTTTGGTAAATAATGATTACACATAACGGCGATGTAGTTTTGTCCCGAGTTCGTTTAGCTTTAAATCTTGTAAACCGAAACGGCATTGATACTCCGAGGCACAATAACATAAGTCACTCTCGATTCGAATCGTCTTGTGACTTATGTGCCGCTACATATTTTTATTCTTATTTACCTTCAACGGTAGCATAATAATATTCTGAAATATTCTCAATTATTTCAAGCTAGCTATACTTCAAATCTGAAGTTCACGGTTCTATACAATTTTCCCATACGTGGTGTTACTTTAACATCGATTCTCTCGACATTATAAACACTTTACATAATTTCGTGTATTTAAGACAGGAAAATGTATACTTTATACACCGTATATGTGGCGTACCATCTCCAAATCAAACACGCGTTCGATGGTTTCGTACTACGCGAATGCTCCTTTCATTGACGTTTCATTCGATCACATTTTTTAGGCAGTCCACGAGATATTTACTGTGAAAGACAGATCATAGACAACCGGTTGGATTTCCGAGCGGCGTTTTAATGCCGCGCCGCTTTGTGCGTTTGCAATTCGTTCGACTTTTATAGAGAAGAAGATTTACGGGGATTTTAACAGTGAACCTCTCCGTCGCTTGGTATATGTATAGACAAACCCTGTAAATAGAGATCCATACATGTGGTGGACATGTACGTCATAAACAATACTCCTTTTTCGCACGATCGATATCAACGACCCGAACGAATACGATACAAGCAGTTGCTCTCTTTTCGGTTTATGGACAACTGGAGTAAATACAACAGATGGAAGTACTAGATAATATTTCAGTTACAGGGGAACGAGTTTCTGAAGATTTACGAGATGTCTAACGGTAGAAATACCGAAGCTTTCTTTTCTGTACACTTTTTCTTAGCTCTCTCGCGAATCTCGAATTTTCATATTTCAGTCGTCTTCTCTCGTTTTAACAAAGACAATTCCTTTTATGTCTTGAAAAGATACTTCACGTGGGATTAAAACGAGAAGTCACGCGTAAGAATCTTTTAATATTTTGCCGAGACTCGAAATATTTTTTAACGTTAGAAAAATACAATTATCATTATTATTGTGAACGAGGCAAAGAAGCACTTATTTTTCTTTGCAGCCAAAACCTTGTGAATAACTATATTTGTTAATTAAAAATAATAACTTTGGTTGACTTATTTATAGAGCGAAAATAACCCGACTTCGTTCCCTGGTGTTAAATTACGTGCAAAAGTGGACTGGTAGCAAACCAGTTCACATTATCCCGAAAGAGAGTTTCAAAATTGCGTTGTTAAAAAAGTTTAAGTAGCAACTGTACAGTTCTTGCGCTTGAAAGTAAAGGTTTTAGTATTTCTAACTAACGATATGTCACGTTTCTGGAATGTAAGGTTAAAACACTTACAAATATTAAACACAAATATTATAATTTAATTATTTAAAACAATACGCGTGCATCGTTTAAAGACACCGTTAAGATATTACTTAAGTGAGAATTGCAACGATTAATTGCAAGAATTTCAATAAGTAACAATCTTCTTGATGTAACATTCATAGTTAATTGAAAATGTCAATATGACAACAAGTAAACGATAAAACTTAAAAATAAATATTATATTATATATATTATATTCCTACCTCGTTTATCTGCGTTATAAAGAACAAAACATAAATAAATTTTTGTTCAAATAAATTCTGATACGAATAAGTCCTTATTCGAATAAATTTTTCATTATAATAAAATAATAAATGTTCATTTTCATGCGTTATCTGTTATACAAATAAAATTTTATGCGACCTTGCATATAAATCCGTGCAATGTATTTATCATGAACAGCACGATACAAGTACGAATAACAATGTAAACACGTTAGTAGGTAATTCGAGTAGCGTAACTTTCCACGAAACGCGTTCGTTCTATGATTGTTTACACGAAATCCAACGCAAGTACGCTTTTCAGTCGAGTCTCGGTCGCGACAGAGTAAACTCGTACGCGTGAAACGTTGAAAGTGCTCGTTTATAATCGCATCAGCCTGTGTTTCGTATCTCCCAATGGCTTAACGCTGTATCTAGAATTTATTAGCGAGCAACGTAACTTTTTAACAAACATAGATCCACTTTCGCGACAAAGGGTATTCCTGCCGATGAATCCATTCATCTACATACACGGAAATCTCTATTCAATAACGTATCACGAGTCTCGAAACATGGATCAAATTCGTCGCTTTACCTACAGATCCAACGGGGAGCCGCACAACGAAACGTCCACGAGAAAGCTCCTAAACTACTGCGAAACAAAGTGCCAAGTGCCTTATTCGAGCTCGGTATACCTAGAATCTAACGAGGATTTTCTACGAATTTCATCTCTCGTCCACGATACCGACATTCAGCAACAGAGAAGCTTGAAACGAATTCATCGAACGATTTCATTCGATACAAATATATAAATCTTCGGAAAAGTGTAATAAAGAATCGGGAGAGGAGAAAGCATAACTTCTCTGATTTATAAGTTGTAACGAGTCAACCAGAGAACATAAATAAGAAATATATAAATAAAGAAGAAATAAAGTGGACAGTGACCAATGAAGTTCATACGATCAATCGAGTAAACATCGAAGTACAACTCTCGTTTACTCGCGTATAATCAACTGGCGAAGGCCGGACCCTTAAAGCAGCGCGTTAAGCACGGTCGACCGTCATCGCTAACGTCAGTGATGACAGCAGTGAGGTGGCGTGCAGGCCGTGGTGTTAAGTTCTCGCCGGATAAATGTGCGCGATGTATTATTACGCCAGCAAGCTGACTGCGGCGGCTCTAAGCGGGGGTGGTTCCTTCGGAGGGGGGGGAGGGACAGCGGGAGGTGGCGGCGGGTCGGCGGTGTGTCGATGCCACGAGGCACACAGAGACCAGCAACAACAACAGCAACAGTCGCCGAAGAGGAGTCAACAGCAGTCGTCGCAGACCACCCGTCATCATTCCCGTACACCCCGGGTGAACACCCCCACCCTCGGGCCCACCACCTCCGAACACGTCGTTGTCGAGCATCCAAGGCCCAACCATTATCATCGTCATCGCACCAAGCACAAGGTACCGTTTTCTTTGTTGGTTGTTCGTTTGTTTCTGGTTCGATGAAAATTGTTTTCTGCCTTCTTTTTTCACTTATATTGGGAAACGTTCGGAAAGTTGGAAAGTTCATAAAGTCTTTGACATTTTCATTCTCTGTATCGTACGGTAGTTGTGTAGTTTTGTGACTATAATAGTTTCGATCGCTTGTCTTCAGATTTTTTATATCGAACACGAAAGAATTTAAAAAATCCAATGTCTATTCGGTTCAATCCATTTAATGAGAATTTACTAGAAAGGTTAAGCCTACACGAGAATAACATTTTTTTTTTTTTTTTTGTAATTATATATTTGATAATAATACCATTATGTAATACAATAACGTGTCACGAATATGTTTCGTGTCATTAAAAACGGAGGATATATAATTTAGGTGGCCTCCGTGAGCTGATACACCTTGTATATGAAATATTAAATTGTAAAATTACTTATTAATTATTATATTATATAAAACGCGAAGTTTTATTAATATTTATTATTTATTAATATTTTTTGTCATTAAAGGTTAGATAATAATATTTCATACGATAATTCAATATAATAAAATATTTAATTCTTTCGCGAACAAATCACGAATGAATCCACCTCTTACAAACAAGAACCATTACAATGGAAATTATCCTCGGGATGCTCATAGAGCCTCCTTACGTAACTTCCGGTGAGACTGTTGTGCGTGGACGTCCAAATTCCCCAGTGCAAACTGCGAAACTTTTAATCGATACTCGAAGGCATTGTGCGCTAAGGAGATCGTGAATCGGCGGAATTAATCGAGGCCGGCACAGTTTGGAGATAGTTTGGTCGAATTCATTTCATCCGGTACATTCGGCCGTGGCGAACGTATTTGAATTTATTTAGCCGGAAACTCGTAGCAGGAAGTTGAAAACGCGGCGGTCGGAATAATGCTGACGTCCACTGCACTCTTGATTTTTGTTGATTTTCTTTGTCGAACAGGACTACGTCGAATCATACATGAAATAGTAATTTCTTTTTCCATGGAAAGAGATTTCTGTAGCGTGCGGAGCAAATCGTGTCCCAATCGTTCAATTTCAAACGTAAAGAGCAAGATTTTTGTCAAAAATACAGAGATTGTAATGAATATTCGACGTTTGATCGAAAAAGAGGTTTAATTCATGCGCTTACTATTATACATACATATACCGATTTTAAGATATCGTTACGTGAACCTCTCAGAAGTTAAATAATTCCAGATTAACTGCGTTTTTTGCAAGCTTTGCAATTTCGTTATTCGAATACGTGATTAATAATTCGCTGCAAGATGATACAAATGAGCGGAAATTTCACGAAAATTCTTAGCAAATTGCAGCATTCGGTACATCTTCCCGTACATTTTCAATGTATGGAGAGAATTAACGTGGCCTCTGGTAGCTCGTATATCAAATATTCATTCTGTATATCTTCGTCTATCTGTTCTCAAACGTTCTTTACATTACAAAGTCGTATTATTGCCACGATATTAATAAACAAGACAAAGCGCATTGATTTCTTTATTCCGAGCCATGATACGTACAAGGAAACCAATCTGCGTAAGTGGTTGTACACATCAATGGTTCGAAGTAAGCCGTAATCGAGAATCGCGATGGAAACGGGAGATCGTACAAGATCCATGCCTCGTCCGAGGCGCACGACGTTGATCATAGCTGAGAAATCCATCGAGGCGTCTCGTAAATCCGGTATCGCGGTATTCTCGAGCCTCGGGGCTTTCCACGTCATCCTGATATTCCAACATTCCTATTCTCGTCCTGCGTACAGACAAGTTTCCCAAGTTTCCCCGTGTGGCCGTCGAACCGAACTCCAACGATTCCCCAGTGAACTTGTCGAATGATTGTCCTTATAATATTCGTGACGATGAGCGCGACGAATGGATACACGGAATTTAGATTATTCGAACGTCATTTTAAATAATACCAAATGGAATATCGAACATTATCACTGCATATAAAATTAGTTATATGCATTAAATAAAATTACTCGTTCTCTATTTAATTGGCAATTAAAACAGAAAGTTATTTTATTAATAGTTGCATTTTAAACACGATGCATGTTTTTGAAGGTGTATATCGATTAATTGATCTTAATAATTAATACCACCGTACGAGATGATATTGTTTGTTAACAATGTAAATATATATATATATGTCGGAGATGAAAGGAAAACCGGAGCCTTCCCTTTGCAATTTTGAGGAAGCCGTTTTCTAATGCTTTAGCCTAGATTTTATCATAACTGTAATTAAGCAATTGTCATTTGTAATTGTTTGATATTTGTGAAAAGCGAAAGTGGGTTCGAGGTGACAACTGGTCGCCGAACGTAGCCACGGTCACGGGATAAACGTTTTGCCTGACGAAGGTGTGGATCGGTTGTATTGTTCTCCCTAGAAATCACATAGAATTGTACTTTAGAGATGTCGATATAATGGGACACACGTTGTATTAGGAATC